GCACAGCCAAGTGCAGCCAACAAAAGTGAAATACACACACATAAACACACACACGGACACACACGCCGTCCGTCTGAGGTAAATATAAGTGTAAAGAACTGCTCAAGCCCAACTTCAAGTGTTAACAAATTGTGCATAGCCAAAAGAATATAGAATGTACAGAAGCAAAGGAAGCAGAAGAAAACAAAAGATACTTTTGGGTTAAGCTGCAGCTACAGCCACAGCCACAGCCACAGAGATTCAGATACATTTGCAAGCTCTCACATCTACACACTCTCTCTCTGTGTGTGTGTGTGTAGTTGTAGCTTTTGTTCTTTTGAAATTCAAATACGCTTCCGTTCAATTCAGTTGGCAAACGTGTGTCGACTTTGCAGTATCTGCAGTTGCTGTCTGCCCTGTGTATCTGTGCATCTATCTTTGTGTATCTTTATCTTTGTGTATCTAATTTTCGATTCTCTTTCGGCCTGTGTTGATTTCATATAGTTGCAGCAATCAGTGATATTCGCTAACCAGGTGAGCTGAAACAGCTGATGAAATTCAAAGCAAGTGCAATATTTTTGTTTGCGAATTTATCTTCTTACAGTTTGTATCTTTTTTTTTTTTTTTTTTTTTTTTTTTTTTTTTGCCATTGTTGGTTTTTGGTACACCACAAGGTCAGCTGTGACGTCAGCGACGTCTTTGTGCGCGCATTGCATAATTTGATTTAATATTATTATGAGTCTTGCGGGTTTGCCAAATGCAGTTTGAACCATCATAAAAATTAATAATAATAACAAATATATACACTTATACATACATAAATATATAAATATATATATGTGCATATATAGAAAACGAAATCAAACAAAGCCAAAACAAAGGCCACATAAAGCTTTGTGCTAATCAATTGCGTTAACTGATAGGAACGCACACGTCTGTGTGGGCGGACCTTAGTTAATTTCATATGGGGGCGCAATGTAGTTGAAAAGCTCTCGATACCTAATGAATGTATCAATATGTATGCATATATATGTATATATGTTTATACATATATATCTTGCCTTGTTGAGCAATTGATAATTATATTACGATTGCTGTCGAAATAGTTATCTACCTTACGGATACTCATAATGAAATTAAGAATTTTTTATAGAATTTATTAATTGCAGCAAAGTATAATTAGTACACTGAAAGAAATTGAAAGGGAAGGAAAAAAAATAAAAACAAAAATTTTATTAATTTTTATTTTCATGCTTAGATTGCTTAGAATAGCGAAAAGGGTAAAATAATCATTTTTAAATCGATTACACTGAGAGAAATAGTCCACAAAGTACAGCTGCGAAGCCGCACAAAAGTCTGCCAATTTTAAATAATATTATATTTATAGTAATATAAAAAAAAGTGTTTTGTTTGTTTTGTGTAGTTGAATAGAAAAGTTTTTACACTGAAAGAAAAAATGTCACATGTGCTACGTACTCATAATCCAGTAAATTGAAATTGAAAGCTTAAGAATGAAACAAATGTCTAGAAGTTAAAGTTAAATTATGAAAGTGAACAAAGCTACACTGCGCAAAACTATCAGGCTTTGTATACTGTATTAAAGTAAAATTAAATTCTTTTTATTATTTGGGAATCAGATTATCCGATCTATATTGCAAGAACTAAACTTTTTTTATATTTTTAATATCTTCTTCAGTCATTTTAGGTTGTTATTTTCTGAGTGTACAAGTTCCATTTAAGCTTTTTGTACTATCAGACAAAACGTGTATTACGTATTAGCGAAAGCCCCAGACAATTAGTTCAAGTTCATTAGTCTAGAAACTGGAAACGAGAAATGATCGCATGCACAGACTCCCCCACGAGCGTGAACTTTCGACTCTCGGCCATTCGACTATAACTATTATATATGTCCCATTTATACTATATGGAATTTAGGTATTGTTTAGCTAAACAGTTGAACTGTCTAGCCAATGCGTCTAGGCAAACGGGCTTATCGAAAGCGATAAGGCATATAGTTTGTTGACTTGAGTTGAGTTAATTAAGGTGTACCATTTATAGGTAATGATATAAATGTTGAGTATACATATGTATATATGCATGTAGTTAAATATACATATTAATCTTATATAAGCGATCAGCAATCAAGGTCGTTGCAAAAGCAACAAATGGCAAATGAAAATAAATGCTGTAGATGCTGTTCTGAACAGAGCACACACACACACACACACACCTAGACACACCTACACATGTAGCATATAGCTTAACTGAAACCAAGAGACAATCGCCACTCTGATGACAGACATTATATATAGACACCTTTATATGAGAGCATTTCTATCTAGCTGGCAAATCGCTTACATGGTCAAGGTTGCGTCTATTCAGCTGACAAAAGTGAAAATCAAGTGTATATATGCGATATTTACTATATACAAGTCATATAGAAAATATATAAGTATATATACAGCTGATATACACGCGCAGTCATTGCCTTTTTGTTTACCTCAATAGCCGTTATCAACTGTTTGTGTGTGTGTGTTTTTTTTGCAGTGCATTGTCTAAAAATAAAAGTTAGAGCCAATGTTTGAGACGCAGTTGCGATTTGGAACGTGTTCCAAATTAATATGACAACACGAAATGCACCTCCCCCAATGGCATGTCGTAATGCCAATTTACCATATAAACATGCATACATATACATGCATATATGTGCACAATATATTAATACTAATATAGAGAATGCATATTTGAAATATGCTTAGGCATTCCAACGTCAAAGTCAGTTGACTCTCTGTGTGTATGTGAGTATGTCTGTGTGTGTGTGTGTGCAGGCATTATGCAAGATTTAAAAATTTCAATATTTATATATGCTTATTTAGTATATGTTTGTTAAATAAAAGTCAGCTGATGGTCAACTGGATTTAATATACAAACAATATATTTATATATGTATATCAAATAAATTATTTACTGCGAATTTTTAAACCAATTTAAGCAAGCTAAAAATTAAAAAAAAAAAAATAAATAAATAAAAAAATAAATAAATAATATTAAAAAAAAATAAATAATAAAAAAAAATTAAAATAAAGTAACAAAATTATAGTAATACATTTATAAAATGATAAAAAATATAAAATAACAAATACTATAAAATTTTGTTAAATCTTTATAAAAATATATTAAAAAAAATCAAATCAAAAGAAAAACTTAATGAAAAAAATCTAAATAAATTTAAAAAAAATATATTAATGTAATATAAATAAATTTAAAAATAAATAAATACATAAGTGAAACAAAATGAAGCGTGAAATAAAACACATATAAATATATTTATATTTAAATGAAATAAAATTCATATTCGATATAAGATATCATAGTTCAATACGACCTTAATTTTACTTTACTATATTTAACACAACTTATTTAACTATTAAAGGGTATCTGCATATGCTTCCTGCCCGCTTTTGCCTGAGTGTCAATCAAATTCTTCTTTTGTTCAACTTTCGCTGACATTTGGCTGCGCAAATTGTCGCACGTTCGAGAGGTTTAGACCTGGCTAATAGAAGTCAGCTCGGCTCAGCGCTTTGTGTCTCTGCTGAAACAAAACAGATTTCACTTGCCTGAGAATCGCAGGCGGAGAAGGCGCAGGCGGAGGAGGAGAAGGCAGCGCACTAAAGCAATGGCTGTTAGTTAGTAGTTATTTAGTTGCTTCGTGGTTGCTCGTTTTGCGGTCAAATTGTAAATTGCAGCTGACTGCAATTGAATTTCGTCGAGTCTGGCTTTGTTTTGGCCATGATGCGATGTATGGCTATTTGCGTTTGGACGACTTAGCCCCGCTGCTCCGTTCGACATTCACAATTTCACAGACAATTGCCATAAACAAGCGGCAGCATTTTGCATTTGCCCATTGGCACAGTTTTTGATTACCAAGAAACGTTTCCAGAGCAATTCACAATGGCAACGCGGCTCAAGCAACAGTTACAGCTTGCATAGATACAACTGATGCGAACCGAGATGTATCTAATATATATTATTTACATATATATGTATATGAATCTCTCATGACGTGCGCTCAATTTAAATGTTATGCATGTCTCTCTCTCTCTCTCTCTCTCTCTCTCTCTCTGTGTGCATCATATATAATTGCCTTGATCATATGCTTGTCGCATGCACACTTAGCTTCAGCTTGAGCGGGCGAGGTGCGGGGACGGGGGGAGGCTCTCAGTTAGCTATCAAGTTGGCAACTTAATGGGCTGTGCAGCGTCGCTTTATGACAATGAATATGTATGTTTATATAGGCAATATAGCTGTCAGCACAGTGCCTGTCAAACTGTCCGCAGGTCAATTGCAATATAAGCTATATAATTGCCCAAGAGAGCGCAACACTAGAAAATACCGTGGAAATGGTTGAATAAGAGAATTAGCTTTAAGCAAGATTTAGTTGGAATTGATTTTAAATATGTAAAAATAAATATGGATCTATGGCATTATATGCAGTAAATACCCTATAAATGCCAGCAGGTGGGCTGTAAGTGCTTGACTATTTTTTCTAGGACCCACGGATATAGTAGTAGTATCAGTAATATGTCTCATATGACTCTTTTGTGCAACCTCTCCTGCTCTAGTACTTGCTCATTACAGGGTATGCAAACGCAACTGAAAATTCGCATTTTTCTATTGTAACAAAATCTAATTAGTGTAATCACAGTAATTGGCAAGTGGCGCAGCTGCCGCTGCTTTGTGTATGAAAACAATTGAAATTGAAATTTTCAATTCCGATTCGGAATTTCGAATTTCACTTTTGCATTGGGCAAGCGAATTTCAATTGAATTAAAGCAATTAAATGTGCGCAATAGCCGAATAAATTGAGTTTGAGTAAATATTAAGTATACGCAGCGCTGTGCAAATTAGAACATGCTTTTGTAGTCATGTGTGTGAGTGTGTGTGTGTGTGTGTGTGTATTACGCAACTGTCTCTCATTTGTATACATTTGTTAATTGAAACAAACGCTCTTCCACTTTCAGACAAAGACAAAACAAAATATAACAAACGGGGAACGCAGCAAAGAGACGTCGCAGCGTACAAAAAGGGAATAAATAAATAAGACTGAGCAACATAAACAGCATCACGATTAAGCAATCTCTTAGCAAGCGCACAAGCACATTGATCTCAACTCGATAAGCAATATCAACAACAATCAAACAATCGATCAATCAATCTAGCAATCTATCAATCTATCAATCTATCAATCACACAAGCAATCCAGGCAGACCAGTCGATAGCCAGCTGCAAACGCTCTCTATCTCATCGTATAATGTTTAGCAGTCTTGCAACGTTTCTATTTGGAGCGCAACCAACGTCTGAGTCAACGCCAAGCCAACCGAATCCTGTCCAGGGCGATTCCAGCGAGTCGGGCAACGAGCAGGCAGCACCCGGTGGCGATGTAATCGAGGTAACCTCCTCAACACCTTCCGTAGCGGGCAATCAGCGTGGACCGTTGCGGCTGAGCAACAGTGGCAAGCGGGGCGGTGCCAAGAATCGGCGTGCCAAGCAGCGACAACTGCAACAGCAGCAGCAGCAGCAGCAACAACAACAACAACAGCAGCAGCAGGGCGGACAACGCAAGCAGCCGGCGACGCTAACGAAGCTGTTGACACCCAACGGCGAGTGCGTCATCGAGGACGACATCGATGAGGACGAGTGGTACATAGTGGAGAAGGAGGGTGAGTGATGAGGAGCAACGCATATACCCGCTGACTACTTTGCTAATGGGTATGCGGGCATTTCCATTTCAGATGAGGAGAACGACTCGCTGCCACGCAGCGACTCTGAGGAGGAGCTGACCGTAGCCAGGGCCGCGGCTGGAGCACCAGCTGCTGCTCCTGCAGCTGCCGCGCGCCGTCGCCAGCACATCAATTCGCATTCCTTGTACAGTGGACCACGTCCGCAGCAGCAGCGCAACTACTTGCAGCGCACGCGCGCCGCTGGCCGCACGCTGAGCATCTCCACGCTAAGCCCGCCACGCACTGTGCCAGCCAATGAGCTGGCCGGCGATACGTCGGCTGTCAGCCAGTCGCTATATGCGCCTGTCGCCGTCGCTGCTGTCTCGCCCAGCGGCAGCGATAGCAGCAGCAGCAGCAGCAGCAGCGGCAACTCTGGCGCCGGCCTGCTGATGGAGGAGTCCTGGTACGTAACACCGCCACCATGCTTCACCTCGATTGGGCCAATCAATATGGAAGCATCACCCTTTGAGAATCTATTGATTGAGCATCCAAGGTTGGTGATTTTCTCTACCTCCTAAGCAACAAAACAAAAAACAAAAAATAAAATAAGATAAATCCCCCCCTTCAAAACGCAAAGCAAAACTGCACGCAAGACCTGGCGTATACTTGATATTTTTACTTACATCTGCTCTCCTCTACCTTTGCAGCATGTCGGTTTACCATAGTATTAGGTCCAGCCAGGCGGGCACGGAAAGTTTCGTTAATCTTGATCTCGGCTCAGCGGCGGTGCCAGAACCAGAGCCAGAGCCAGCTCAGCCGGCTGCGGCGGTGCAGCAGCCGCGCAGCCACAGCGCTCGCTTCGATCGCCATGCGGCGGCAGAGCTGAAGCAGCAGACGTTGGCTCGTCAAAGCCAGAAGGTGGGTGGCCATTGCCCGGACATACATATACAACATAGATACTAATCTCTCGCCCTCTCTCTCCCTCCCTCTCTTTCTCTCTCTCTCTTTAGAGCCACAATAAGAAGCAGCATCAGGAGCTGTGCCGCAGCGCCATTAAGCGCGCCAATAAGGTGCGCGACTTCCAGGCCAAGGGCCAGCGTCCGCGTCGCTCGGACATGCAGCACTGCAAGCTGGTCAGCGGTGCCAACAACAACCGCAAGTGCTGCTAGTGGATGACAACTGTACCATGAACCCACACAACCACACACCCACACACACCCTCTCCTCCAAGGCTCTCTCTCTACATATTAAAAAAAGTAAACGCGCTTGGGCAAGGCGCAACAGAATTTTAATTAGTATTTTAAATTGCCAAAAAAAAAAAATAAAAAAAATACCAAAATGCAAAAAAAAAAAAAAAAACAACAACACCACAGCCACAAAAAATATCAAAATTTAGCAACTACAAAAAAGGAAATATATTTAAATATTTAAAAACTAAAAATTTACCAATTAGTAATTGTGTAAAAACAGAAAAAAAACAACAAAAAAATGAGAAATTTCAATTCTGTGTAAAGTAGTTTTAAATGTTTACAGTTTCAACTTAAAAGCAAAAAAAATCTACCAAAAAATGCAATAAAATATTTTCAAAATGAAAAAAAAAAAAAAACAACAAATGTTCAACATAAAATGACAAAAAAAAAAAAAAAATGTATAAAAATATTTTACTAATTTAGTCTTAAAGCAAAAAAGAAAGGAAAAAACTTATAAAAAAATTAATTATTTATTTATATTTAAAATTGCAAACTTTATATGATTTAAGCCACGATCAATGCGATCGATCGATTCTGAATTTAGTTATATGATTTGTTAAAGTGTAACAAAATGCGTGTATTTTATGTATGCTTCATGTGTGAAATGTATTACAGTGTATCAGAGATGAGCAACAGCGCTTGCTGTGAATGAAAGTATGAAGAAATGTGAAAAAAAAAAACAAACAAACAAACAAAAAAAATTATTATATAAATAGAAAACCCAATAAAAATGATAATGCTATGATCTTAAGATATGAGTTGGCCAACTTTTCTTTTCTTTATTGTGGATATTCCAGTTGATCCATTATGAATGTGGGTCAACAATTTGGCTTTGCTGGCCTGGTCACAGTGGCTGCGCTGCCCTTGTCGCTGTCAGGGTCAAGTCGACTGCTGCGGGGGTGGTGCCAGCTCACCTTTCACAATCGAAAAGCAGAGCGTTTAATTAACCAACAGTTAAGTGTTAACTAACTAATTAGTAATTTGTTTTTTTAACGCAGACACGCTTCGCAAAACGTCTGCCGTAATGGGACTGAGGGCGCCGCTGCTGCTGCTCCACAAGTTACAGTTAGGTGCCGTTGACCTTGACGCCTAAAAGGTAATGGGTCAGCAGCTGAAGTAGCCACAGTTGCAGCTAACTTGCAGCAGAAGTTGCAATTACAACATTTGTAGCAGTAAAAGCTGCGCGTCTCCGCTGATGCGGCTGCCGATGCTGCACTTCCGCCATACACCTTAAGAAATTAGTGAGCTTAGGTATGAGAATGTATAACAGGCTGAGCTACATTTACTGAAAAGAAGAGGGCAGACTAGAGAATGACTAGACAAAGACTAGAGAAAGACTTGGTTTAACTATACTCTGAATATATTGCTAATGGGACTGCAGGGTATGTTGGTTTGATGAGAAGTAGAAAATGTAATGTAATAAATAGAATATGATAGAGCTAAGATCGTAAGCGATATACCAATAAATAGACTAAGAGATATAGACTCAAAAAGACATATAGTAAATATTATTACATAAGTTTTATTACAAATAATAATCTAACAATTGACAAGCTCATGTCTATCCATTTATCCTGTCTGAAAGCAGTTAGCATTTAAACTTCAACATATAGAATACAAATCGATCTTAATGCCTAAGCAAAAAAAAAAAAAAAAAAAAAAAAAAAAAAACATAAATATTCTTTCCTCTTCTTCTTCTTCATTTGCTTTTGCCCCTGAGCCGCATGGTTCTTGCTCAGCTTAAGCTCCCCTCTTTAAGCTCAGTGTAATTTCTAACGGTCGAATTGCAACGAAAGTAAAGCAAGGCATGCAGCTAAAGCTATTACCAGAGCTGGCTGGGTCTCTGGTCAGGTCGCGAGATAGGCTAACTGGCAGCTTCTTTCACAACAATCTGCCCATGGCTGGTGGCTTGTGGCTGGTGGCTCTCATCTTCTAAGCTCTGCCTGGCTGGCTGGCTGGCTGGCTGGGTGCTCGGCTGGCAAAACTCTATAAAGATTTGCGCTAGCCGCGCTTGGCTTCACACCTGCGCGTAACGCGAAGAGCTGCAAACCAAAGGCTTGGCTGTCGGAACTTGGGCATACGAGATAGGCTATATACGATATACGATATACGTTAGGCGCTATTCGGAATTCGCTTATAAAGGAGGGTCTCTTATGTAATATTGAGCAACGCTGCTGTGGCCCGGCCGCTGATTCTATTTGGCAAGTTGCACTTGAGTGATTTTTCGGGCTTCCAAAAAAACGAAAAACGGAAAAACTAACAAAAGTTTGGCCGAGACGTGCAGCATGTAAAGCACGACGTAGATAGATAAATGGCATAAATGGTGTAGAAAACATCGGGCCACACATAACTGCATAACAAAATCGCGCAATATCCCAAAAGCCAAACCAGAGCAGCAGACGTTGAAGGAGAAGGAGAAGCAGACGAAGAAGAAGAAGATAACCGAGGATAGGAGTTAAACCCTAAAGCAACCCAGTCACACGCACAAGTGTTTTGTTAACGCTTTCGGCATTATTTTGGGCACGGCTCGTCAACTTTTATAGGATTTGGTTAAATGTGAAGCAAACAAGCAAAAAAACTGAAAATGGGCCAAGTTTTTCCATGTCAGTTGGTCAAAGTGCGTGCCGCCAAGTGAGTGAGCGTGTGTGTGAGTGAGTTAACTGTTTTAAAAACCATTAACAAATTTTTGGGCGCTAAGCAAAACGAATTAAAACTTAGAGCAGGTCAGTGTTTGGCCAGCTAAAAAAAAAAAAAACAGAGAAAAAGAGAATTGTGCAAATAAAACGTGATTAAACGTGAACGGAAGTTGAAGACGGAGACGAGCAGACGAGGCTTCAGACTTTTGGTAGGTGAGTTCTGCACTAAAAATATGGTTATTAAAGTATCCAATAATTTTGCTTTATTATGCGACTATAAAAGCCGATCGTTAAATATTATGAACTTGATTTGATTGAAGCCTTAAATTTGAGTAGAGAATTTGTACTTAATTGTACTTAATTGTTACCAATTAAATTATTAATATTTGAAAAAAAAAATTGAAGAAAAAGATTCTATCTAGCCTTGAATTATCAAATATTCAAATTTAATATACATACTGCTTATTTGAAATATAGTTTTATTTAAACTAAAATTTAAAAAAAAAAAATTTTAAATAATAAAAAAAGGAATTTAGTATTAGAAAAAAAGAAGAATAATAATAATAAATACATATGATAATATATACGTAAAATATATTAATTCCTTTAACTTAATTAAAAAAATAAATATCTGAAACTATTCTCTAGCTTTATCATATTAAGTCTTTCCCTCTTATCAGAATCTCAACAAGTCCGCAACCAAAGAACTGACAGTAATAATAATAATACCCTTGCTTTTTGCTTCTAATACCCCACGCAGTTATTCTAAGTTCTTCATCTTAATTATTATCTAACTAAATGCACGCATTAGCTTTAAGTTGCGGTCAATAAACTTGGAGATAAAAGCCATAAAAACAAAAACTGTCAACTGTCAAACGGTTCATGTTAAACTCGTGCTCTAGCCATAACGTGCAGATACCGTTAACATTGCTAGCATTGTAGGTGAATGCGTGGTAAGAAAAACAAAGCTCGAACGGCTGGCTCAAGGTCAGGCAACAACAATTAAATATAATTACGCGGCGGCGGCGGTGGAGGCTAGGTAGGAGCTGAGCATTAAAGAACAGCAATGCGAACATAAAAAAAAAATAAATTTATATATAAATAAAGGTAAAAAATATAAAAAATAATGAAAGCCAAAAACCGAAACCGAAACCGCAAAAAAGAAGAAAAACAACAACAGAAACACTATTGCATAACAGATGTAAAACCAAAGCGATCCCCGAATCAGCAAATAAACAAAACAAACAACAAGCAGCAGAAGCCAAACCTAAAGTAATTATAACAAGAAAGAAGAGCTGAGATAGCTCCATTTGTAGACCAAATATGGAATACCCTAGCTGGCAGGTATAACTTAATGGGTAGCAATATTGAGAAGAACTTGGCATATGATATGATCTTACATGTGATAGGATATAGAATATATTATTTAAGAAAATAATATATAGATAGCATATGATAAAAGAATATATGATATAATACGCCATTTTATGAAAGGATGTTAAATTAAGAACAAATTTTTGTATAATAAGACATTATAAAATACTATAAAAGTATCGTATATATATACGATATCTGACGATATGTTCCTAGCATTGTAAATAGATCTGATAATATTCCTGAAAATTAATGGCTTTCATTTGTCAGCCAAGCTTATAAAGATTCTATTATCAGCTTTATTATAGCTTATATACATGCATTTTCCAAACAATAGATATAAAAAAGCAAAGACCTTGGCATGTGGCAACATTTATTGATCTATAATTCTTCAGACAAAACTCAATTACCAAATCTGCTACATATTTAATGAGTTGAGTTGCACGCCCTCAGGCAGTGTATTAACAACAACAATTAAGCAAACGGCGTGCGTTTTTACAGCTATGTATAAAGCGCAGTCAAGCATTTGTGCGGAGGTGGTGGCAAGGTAAAGGCGCGATGAGAGGCGTGTCAGACAGGTGGGCAGGCAGTCAGGCAGGCGAACCGAATCACAGTTGCGACGATGTGATTCATGAAAAGCAACAAACCTCAAGAAGGGTTCTACATGCGTGGCTTTGGCTATAATTTTTTAATTAAAGCAAAGCATTTAGCTGACAGTCTGAGTTTTATGCCTTCGACCTTAACGCCAATGGCTGACAACCATTGTTCTGGGCGACAGCCGCCGATGCTGTTGACGTTGCTGATGTTGCTGACGTTGCTGTTGATGTTTATGTTTCTCGCATATTGACCATAATTAATTTATGAACCAAACTAACTTCCTTCCTGCCTTCCGCTACGCATGCGTCCGAGGTGTTGGCCGATGCATCCAGGCTGAACAGAGCTCAAGGTTCTCGTTATTATTTGACCTTCCAATAATGATTATATTGAA